GATGTGACCGGGTGAGGTGGGCCCGAATGCGTTGGGCGTTGGAGGGATTGATAATTCAATGATGGAAGGGGTGGGGGGGGTGCGGGCGGGGCCGGGGGTCCAAGGATACCTCTGCTGCTTGACCCCGGACGCCGCCCGCCCGCCCCCGGGCCGGCCGGATCGGACGGCCCGGCTGGGTTTGCGTGTTGCCACGCGCGGCCGCGGACGGCCAAAGGTCGGGGCAAGCAAAGCACACGATGCCGGAGCTAACGTGTGCACCTCTGGGCGATGCCAGGGGAACCTTTGCTGCCGCCACGCCCCAAACGCACGCCCGCCGACCTGATAACCACACAGCCTCCCAGAGGCGCTCAACCCCTCCCTCGCGTCGGCCGGGAGCGGCAGCGCCGCGGCCGTCGATGCCTCTGACAACACCCAGCCCAACGGCGCTGCCGCAAGCGACGCCCAAAAAAATGGTAGCGATGCTTCAGGCCTACTCACGCTACCGACAGCACGCAACCCCCTCAACACACACTGAACACACATATGAGCAAACTGCGGTTTCCCCACGAAAAGAGGACAATAACACAAACCCATACACGCACACTCACACGCACACACACACTACAGCTGCTCACTTGACAGGGAGTATGAGAAGGTGACCAGCGTGGCCTCCCCCTCTGGCGGCCTGAAGCCGCACGCGTCAGCCTCCACCACGCGCACGTTGGACCAGCCCTTGGCCGCAGCTTTGGCCTTGGCCTAGCGTTTTTGAAGGGAGGAGCGGGGTTGGGGCCGGAAGAGTTTGCACAAGAGGGGTCGTCTAGCTGACTCATGAGGAGACAGCAAGGTCGGCTCCCAGGCCTCGTCCACCCACCGATTTGGCCACATCCATCCCGGTAGCGCGACACCCGGGGCCTGCCGCACCCGCCCCGGGCTGCCGCACCCTTGGTGGACAAGGCAAGCCAGGTGCTTGCTTCCTCAGGCCTGTGCCTTGTGCAACGCCACCCGAAGCGCCCCCCCCCCCCAACCCAGCATTTCAACGGTCACCTGCTCGCACAGGGAGTGGCAGAGGTCGACCACGTACACCGCCTTGAAACGGTCCAGGGGCAGGTACTCCGCCATCATGTCCACGTTCTCCTGGGGGGGGTGCAAAATATGAGAGGGGGGGAGATGCGACGTCAGCAC